GCAAGCCCTGCTCTGAGGTGCAGCTCAGGTCACCCTCTGCAATGTCCTCTCCAGGCAGCCTGGCTCTGGTGGGACCTGGGCGCTGGCTGGTTCTGCTGGCATCTTGGCTCCTGGGCCTGCTTGAGGCCCATCTCCAAAACTATCCCACTCATCTCTCCACTTCCGATTGTGCCTTCTTTCTTCTGTGGAAGTGCACGGTGTGGGTGAGGGTCGGGTCAGGGAGTCGGGAACCCTGTGCTCAGATACAGCTCTGATGTTGCTCAGCTGTGTGAAGTGGGTGAAGATTCTTAGCTTAGAGGGTGGTTGTGAGTTCAGTGGGAGTTGGGGTGTATTCAGTACAGGGTGCACGCTCGGCAGATTTGTTCGGGAGGCCATCCTGGTGACTTCCAGCTCCTCTCCCCGAGCGGCTCTTCAGGTGGGGTCCGCGAGTGAGCAGTGCTGGTCTGTGGTGCTTCGTCCTGCCCTGGAGCTGAAGGAACGTCTCCCCTCCTTTCTGCCTTTATTGGCCGGCTGTTCCGGGAGGGGGTTTATGGCAGCCGTAGCCTGGGCCCAGCGAGGAGGTGTCCGGAGGGGAGCCAGCAGTGCCTCAGGCTTGCACAGTGGTGGTGGCCTCAAGCCTTGGACATTTGGACAGAATCTCTTCCCAGGACCTAGAGGGACAAGTCTGGGCCAGTCCCCCACAAGGCCCTGTGTCTGGGGCCAGGGTCCCTGTGTAGGTGGCAGTGGGTGGGCTCCTCAGAGCCTGTTCTGCTGCTGTTTGGGGAGCAGGTGGGTGGGACTAGCTGTGAGCTACAAACTCTGGAGCATGTTTGAGGGTCTGGGGCCCAGAGCAAAGTGGGAGGGTCATTCCAGTGCCCACGTCCCCGGGAGAAGAACCTCCCCGCCACACTCTCGTTCCTGAGGGTGTGCCGCTGACCCCACGACTGGTGTCTGTACAGAGTGGTGTGACCACTGGCCTTCGTGTAACCTCCTGCCCACCCCTTCCCACTCGCCTGTCGGGTCCTAAGTCTGAGAACAGAAATCTGTTCCCAAGGCCCCTAAACAGCAGCAGCAGAGCCCACACGAGCACCTCCTGCAGCTCAGTCTCAGAAGGGGAAGGTGCCGTAGAGCCCAGGCCTGGGGTGCAGACCTCGCCCCAGCAGGCTGGCAGTGCCCCTTCACAACATGGCGCAGCTGTCAGGTTTAAGCCGAACTCTGTCCCACGAGAAGAAGGGGCCCTGGGGATGGGACTCAGAGCTGGCCTGGCGGGCTCTCTGAGGTGCCTGCTGTGCTGGCCTTTCCTCCCTACCTGAGTCTTTGTGGCCCAAAGTGAACTGTCACCGGTGTCCGTGCTGTGGGGTCCTCGTCCAGAGCAAGGGGTGGGGTTGCCCTCTTTCCAGAGGCTGTTGGTTCACAGAAAGAACTAGTGCGAAGGCTGACGCGCACCTTGGGGATCCGCAGTCGGGTGCGAGCTGTGGCCGTGTTTGCTCCTCCACGTTGGCCTGCTGTCCCCTCGGGGGACTGGTGTTTGAAGGACTTCAGAGGTGGTGGAGGTGCCCTGGCGGTTTGGCTTAGCAGTTAGAGTGTCAGCCGAGGACCAATGACTCACAGGTTCGGTTCCTGTCAAGGGCACTTACCTCAGTTGCAGTTTGTCCCTGGCCCTGGTCGGGTCATGCACGAGGCAGCCAAATGGATGTGTGTCTCTCTCACATCGATGTTTCTCAGTCTTTCCCTCCCACTCTATCTGAAGATAAATGGGAAAATATCCTTGGGTGAGAATTAAGAGAAAAAAAGAAAGGTTATGGAGGTGCTAAGCTCTCATGTTATCCAGAAAATGTTTTTCTTTGGGAAAAAAAGTTTTTTGTTAATCCTCACCTGAGGCTATTTTTTCCATTGATTTTTAGATAGAATGAAAGGGGGGGAGGGGGAGACATTGAACATATTGATTGGCTGCCTCCCACACGTGCCTTGACTGGGGCTAGGGATGGAACCTACAACCCTGGTACCTGCCCTTGACTGAGAATCGAGCCTGAGACCCTTCAGTGCTGGGTCTGACTCTCTAACCACTGAACCGCACTGACCAGGGCAACCAGTTGGTTTTGTGGCCAGGTCAGGGGTGGCCCAGGCTCGTCCGTCAGCCCAGACACTTAACACCACCTTCTCTGCATGGGCCCAGGAAGGCCCTCCAGCCCTTCCACAGCCCTCCCAAGCTTCCTTCTGTCCTGCTTTTCACTTCTGTTTTTATTAATGATCTCTCTCCTTGGCTGCAGAACTTTGTATTCATCAAAGCCTGATCACCAGAAGGACTTGAACTTCTCTTATCAAGGATATTTTGGTATCTGATGCCAGCGTCAGAAATACAGACAGGGTAGTTAAGAGCCATCCTACTGTGTCCCGTGTCTGCCCTTGTCTTCACCCCCACCCGTGCCCTGTGCACTCCACATCCCCAGAAGCCACTGTGGGACCTGCTGATAAGACAGCAGAGTGTTGCTTACCTCTCGAGGGACAGCGTCACCCCAAAGCTGACCGCCTCCCAGAGGGCTAAGACCAGAATTTGTGAGTTGGAAGTTTGCTACGGTGGGTGTTTCAGAGTGACAGTATGGTGAGGGTCCTGACAGGACTGGGTGGGGCCGTGGGAACTGGTGGGAACTCCGACTGCGGCTTTGAGATTTGCTCGGAGACCAGCTATGAACTGGGGGAGTCACCTCTGTGTGCGGATCCTTGGGGCAGTTGCTGGCTACTGAGGGCTAGGGACAATGGCCTGGCTGTGGCTGTGGCGTCTGGTCTGCACCTGATGAAGGGCAGGCTCGGCCTGGGCACGGGGCGACGGGTGTCTCTTTCATCTCGACTGGACCTGCCCGTGCTGTCTCTGGGGCTCTGCTTCCGGCGGGGGTGTGTGCTGGGTGCCTCGTCCGGTCTGTTCGTGATGGAGGCTGGGGTCGGTTTTCTCCGGTCTCGTTATTGCTCAATTCAGAAGTCTTTTGGGACTTGAAATAGTTTTCTGATTTTGGATGACTAGGAGTAGAAAATCGAGTTAAAGACTAAGAATTCAACATTCTTCAATGGATATATTTATGGAACAGATGACCTACTTTTTGTTTTAAAATGTATATCCCACATTTATATGCTTGTCAAAAATTGGAATGTCTCTTTCCCTTTTTAAAATAATTAACATGACTTAAGAAAAAGTCTCACTATAACAAAGTTCTATTTTTAGTTAGTTAGGAGAGTTTATAGTAAATACTGGTTGTGTTTATGTTGGCTGAGCATCTGACCTGGATCCTCAAAGGTGGTCCCACAGTTTGCATCCACACCCAGCCAGCAGTCTCGGGAATGTTACGAGAGACGCAGGTACCTTGCCTCATTTATTTTGGGTATAGAATCATCTAGTATTTTTTAACTGTGCAACAAATTAGTTTTAAAATGTTAGAAGAAAGTTTCACAGTGTACTTGTTATACGAATCTTCTGTTCATTGAGCCTTCCTGACAGTGGGGTGGAGTCTCCTGGGCAGCTGGGCGACCACACCTGTGACCATGCCTGTCTTCCACTGGGCTTCCTTTCTGTGTTTGGACACGCTCCTGGAGGACTGTCAGGAGAAGAGACTGCACAGGAAACCGAGGTTGGCTGCAGAGGCCTGGTAACTCCAGAGCACAGAGGTCAGAGAATCAGGAGGCCTGTTCTTGGTTTAGGCAGTGTCTGCCCTCAGGCCTCAGGGAGGGTGGAGCCGTGAGGACCAGAGACGTATGATCGCAGTGATACATCTACCACCTTGAAGGGAGTGTGAAGACAACCTGTAACCCAGGGGAAGGTATTGTAAACTATAAAACCAACAGAATTCTCATCAGAAGTACAAGTTCACAAATGTGGCTGTGAGCAGGGGCGACGGCAGGGCCCACAGCGATGCTGGACATGTGTGGGTGTACGTCCTTGGAAGCCAGTTGCTTGTGTCTCAGGTGGGACCCTGACTGAGCACCTGGCCCGTAGGTCCCTCCTCGGTGGGTGTGGAGCCAGAACACAGGAGTGTCCCTGCTTCCTTGCCTCACAATTCCTGGTTCCTGTCTGGGCTCTCTCCCTGCTTCAGACTTTGTTTCAACAGGACAAGTGCCAGAAATCACGGCATTTCACTCGCCCACCAACTCACTGTCATCGCCACAAGGTGCAGACACTTGGTCCCTTGACTCTTTGACGCCCAGCTGGCTTTTCCTGACTGTTTTCGTGCGGTGGCTTCATGTCGTGTTCTAGCCGTGCGGACGCTGCGTTTGGCTGCTGCGTCTTCTGAGGCTCTTCCTGCAGAATCACTTCTCTTCCTCTTTTTATTCTGTCCATTTATTTGTAAGGAGACTTGGACTTCATCTACTGGAATTTCCAAAACTCTGGGCTTGTCTGGTGGTACATCCATGGTTTTGGGGACCATGGGCTTTGCCCTCCTGCTCCCTGCAAACTGGGGTGGGTGGTTTGCGGCCCCTTGGGCGGCGTCCATCCAGACTCAGGTTCCGTGTGGCCAGTGCTGACCTTCTTACCCTCCTGCCGCTTCTTGCAAATGGAGGAACTTGACTTTCGGAAATTTCATTTCCCTCAGAACCATTCTACGAACATTCAGGTGGAGCTGTGCTCTGGTCACCAAAGGTGCCCGTGGGTTTTGTTCTGTGACCTCATGGGACTGGAAGCACGCCTGTGTTTCGGTCCACTGTGGACACTGTTGTCTTTGGTGCTCGTATTGTCCCTTCTGGGCCCGTAGGAGCCTGTTGGGGACTTGAGTGTCGCTCTCCTGGACCCTCCTTGTCTGAGTGGTGTTCTTGCTCTGGGGTCAGGACTGCTCCTGTTGCTGGGCCTGGGCTTGTCAGTGAGGTGGCCTCGCCTTGGGGGAGACGGGGGTGGGGGGGCACTGACATGGAGCAGGCGGAGGTAGAATCGTGGGTGCTGAATCTCTGAGGAGAAACTCAAGGGTAAAGGTGCATCTGCATGTGTGGAGGGGCTCGGGCGTGGCCGGGCTGTCCGCTGACTTCTGGTTCTTTCTCAGGAGGCAGGAGCAGTTCCAGAGAAACCCCGACAGCTACAACGGAGCTGTGCGTGAGAATTACACCTGGTCGCAGGACTACACCGATCTGGAGCTCAAGGTGCCGGTGCCCAAGCACGTGGTGAAGGGCAGGCAGGTAACCAGGGCTCTGCAGCTGCTGCACTTGGTGGCTCCTTGGGCCCGGTGTTGGGCTGTGGGCTAGTCTGTCCCCTCAGCCACCTGCTCAACCACGTCCAGTCGGGTGTGAGACCCCCCCCCCCCCCCAGCCTGCTTGCGTCGTGTGGATCACATCTGAGCCTCGGTTTTCAAATTGCAATGTTCTCGTGTTGCTTCTGGCCTTCAGCCCACAGAAGACATGACCAGGTGGGCCAGGCAGCTTCACAGGTGGGAGAGCGGGGTCTCCAGGGGCAGAGCAGCCTGGGTTTTGGAGTGACAGGTGGGCCCAGGCCTGTGCTCAGCAGAGCTCGCCCTGAGCAGGACTCCACGTCCAGTGGGGACTGGACACGGACAGCCTGAGCTGAGGGCTCCAGTGTGCTGAGCTTGACTGGGTGAGTGACCCGTCGGTGGGAGGCGGCCAAGTACTCGAGACCCAGCCCCGAATGACATGAGTGCAGGTCTTCGGAAGTAGAAAAAGCCCTCGTGGAATGTGGGAGACGGGACGTCACCTTATCGCGTTTCTCCGTGGTCTGTGTGAAGTTGTGCCTCATGCAGACCCAGGTGAGTCTGTTTGCAGCTCTGGGCTTGTGCTGATCTAAGGTTTTTCTGAGCTGCCCCTTCTGGACTGGCTCCTTGGCAGCTGTTCCCTGAGGAACCTGTCAGCAGTGTCTATTTCTGGTCCCTGTGCCTGGGACCTGCCAGGTGCGGTCATGATGGCAGTCGTGACTGAAGCAGCTCAGGGCGGGGCGAGGTGGGGGCCCCGAGGGGGGTCCTGGCCCTTCTCCAGCTGCAGCCTCGAGAACCTTGTGTCAGAACCATGCCTCCTTCACCCCCACTGGGGATCATGGAGATGGGCCTGCCCCTCGAGTCGTTGGGGCGAAGGAGGCCAAGTGCGGACACTCGCGATGCAGGTCTGTCTTGTAGGCAGCCTTTCTGTCGCCCTTTCACTGGTGAGTGTAAAGGAAATTTCTCAAAGCAAAGCTTGGGTCTTAAGCCTTAGAGACGTGGCAGGTCTTTGCTTCGTCCACTCTGCTTTCCTCAGTGTCGCCATGGCGATCGTGACGTCAGCAGGCTGGTTACAAACCTGGCATTTCTCGAATCCTAGGATTTTAATGCTGGAAACTGAACTCCAGAGGTTTTTAATCTAACGTCTCACTTTCCGATGAGAAACCCTCCTGGAGATGCAGACCGTGAGGCCCAGCCCGCCCCCCCCCCCCCCCCCCAGACAGTGACCCTGAATGACCAGGTCCCTCGTGTCCTCGGCGTCCTTCCTCGAGGTGTGGGTGGTCCTGCTGACTGGGGAGTCCTGCAGCTGCTGGGCTTGCACCACACTGCCCACCCCCTCTCTGCCCACGGGCACCTTCCAGCACGGCGCCCTGGCCCCAGGGCATGTCCTGCATGGTGCCGCTCAGCCCTGAGCTCGTGCAGCTGCTGGAGTTGGTGCCAAAAGCTGGTCGTGTGGTGGTTCCCGTCTTGGGATGCGTTCAGAAACAGCCGGAAGACTGTTGTGGGGAGTTCACTATGGAACAGGCTGTCAGGCTGCACGTTTCTATGTAGAAAACCTTTGGGTCTGTTCAGAGGATAAAAGTTTACAACAAGAATGCTCTCTGTCCTGTCGGGACCAGCACCATCTGACCTTGGGCATCACGGTGTGAGTGTCGGACGTTCTGGAAGGTGTTCTCATGTGTCTGCTGTCAACTGTGGATCTGTGTCCTCACGTCCAGTTCAGGCCTGGGCAGGGTTTGTTTGAGTCTGGGGGAAACAGCCGTGCAAGTGGGGTCTCCCTAGTGGTTTTAAGGATGCTTTGCAGGAGCTCCCCCTGGTGGATGCCAGGCTATGCCAGGAGCGTGGGCCACCCAGGGTCTGGAGGGTGAGCACCTCTGAGAGCCCGTGGGGATGCCTCTGAGAGCCCGCGGTGGGGGGGCGCGCGTCTGAGAGCCCGTGGGAGTGTGTAGAGCCCCCTGTCCTGGTGGGTTTCCTGCCCAAATGCCCTTGGGTTTCTGCAGACCTCGGATGAGTTTCCAAAGTCCAGAAACAGTGGTTCACAGGGTTCGCGCTGCTCTTCCGGGGGTCCTCACTTCGCCACGTGCCCTGACATCCTTCAGGTCCGGAGTTCCTGGTGTAGGTTTCCGTTTTCCTGGACCTTCTTGCTGCCTTTTTTTTCTCTTGTCAAAAACAGTGCACTTTCATTGTGACCTCAGAATTACCTGGATCCCCAAATACCGTGTTGTCCAGCAGTCTCTCTCCCAAGGTCCCTTCTTGAAAGCTGCTCCCCTGGGCTGTCTGCACTGCCAGCAGGTCCCAGCCCATCTTACCCGGAGCCTGCTCCTGCACCTCCCTGTGCGGGCCCTCGCGCCAGCCCTCCTGGGTCTTCCTGGGTTTTCCAGCTTTGCCGGGGCATCACTGACGTGACGTTGTTAGCCTGGGGTGTGCAGTGTGGGGACGGACATCTCTGGGGTGATCGCCATAGTGTTTGCTCACAGGTTTTTTCTTATGTTGAGAACTGCTAAGATCTCTCTTAGCAGCTTTGAGCACACGAGTGTTGTCAGCCGGCTGGACAGCACAGCCCCAGGACACGCTCATCTGGACCTGGAGGTGTGTGCCTGTCCCCTTCCAGCCAGTGTCCTCCTGTTTTTGTTTCCATCCTCATCGCTTTCCAGAGCGGTACGTGGCCTCTGCAGGGCTCCACACGTCTGAGCGTGGGGGGCTGCGACCTTCCACTTACTCTACAGATTCCAACTTTAAAACATCGTCCCTCGAAGGTTGAAGGCTTGCTCCTTGTCTTCTTACCCCGGGGTCAGTAGTTCCAGAGACTTGTCCCTCCAGCTTTGTGGGTGGACTCCCTTTCTCCTCTTCGGAACTGTCAGGACCTTTTACTGTTGGTGTTCATGAGACCTCCTGTCCGTGTCATTCACTTCTGTGCGTTGTGCTCAGCCCTCCTGGTCCTTCCGCCTGGAGGGCACTTTTCTTGAGGTCTGGATACTGTTTTGTCCCGCTGTGGCATCTCGAAGCCAGGCGCGTTGCCGGGACCGGCCCTTCTCTCCGCCTTCATGTCTTTGACTTTATCTTGCAGTCTATTTCAGTGGGAAGTTTTATTTTAGCCACTGCATTTTAATTCCAAGTTTCTTTTTTGTCTAAGTCTGTTTTCATGTTTTATTCTGGTCTGTAAATGTAACATCTCAGCTCTCACTGCAGGTATAAATAGGAAGCATTGCCTAATTAGTTCTGTGGTTTCTGTTTGATTTTCTGTACCTAAGTCTGTCTGCGTGTCGCTGGTTTCCTTAGAGGGTACGACCCTGTTCCTTATTGGGGTTTTATGGTTAAAAAGTATGTTTTCCCCATTCTGTGTATAGGCCGGTGTTGACAGTTGTCTCCATCCTGAGTCTGGGGTCCCTTCCCCTGGCGCTGCTAGGAGCCGGTCAGCTGCTGCCTGCGTCACGCGTGGGCCTCTGCTGGCTGCTTGGCTGCCGCGGTGGGTCCCTTCCCCGGCACAGCTGCCCTCCAGCCGTCCACGCGCTGACTGCCAGCAGAAGCCCATGCGGCTGTGGGCCCCATGGGCAGGCTGCCCTTGTCGCCCTCTTCCTGGCTCTTGGCCTCTGCTTCCCCCCCGGTCTCCGTGCTTCGTCCTGTTGTCCCTGTGTCCGTGTCACTCGGGTCAGGAGACCTCCAGTTCCCAGGGTGATGTCTGGACCCAGAATTCTGGGTGGTCCGCTGTCTGGTGCCCTGGGCTTTGTGTCTGACAGGACGAGAACCTTGCCCAGACCTGGAGATGGCCGTGTTCTCTGCGGCGGGCTGGGGGACTTCCTGTGTTAAAGCTCCTGGGTGGGCAGGGTTGACGGGCCTCACCCTGCTGTCGGGCGTTGGCTGCACCCGCCGTCCACAGCTGGGGAGACTGGTCGGCCCTCGGTGGTCGGATCCCACCAGGGTGGTTGCTGTGGGGCGGCTGGAGCACAGCTGGCTGCCGAGGCTTCGCAGAATGGGCATTGAGTTGGTCCTCTCCGAGGGTGGGCACCCCTCTCCCCAGCCTGCGTGTGGCTTGGTGACAAGGCCACTGAGCTCCCCTGCGTCACAGCTCAGACCGGGGTCTCCCTGTCTCCACCTGTTCATAGACGGTCAGCCAGGCAGGTCACAGTCAGGTGCTGTGTGAGCTGTGTATGGGGTTCTGTCAGGCATTTCAGTCAGTCCATGAGCAGGGACAAGGAGGGAGCGTCCCTTCGGTTAGAGTGCACATCACACAGATACTGTCACGAAGAGATGTCCACGGGAGAACACACACGGCTTTAGAGTTTAGAGGAGGTAAAACAAGTAGAAACAGGGCCTTGTGTCCTTTCCTCTTCCTGTCACTGACCAGTGCTCGGGCACAGTGCCAGCTTCACGCGCGCTGGGTCCCTGGTCGAAACCCAGAGGAAGGGGCAGGAGTGAGGCGTAGAGCCGGGTTTCTTGGAGAACAGGGACAGAACCTGAGCACCTGGCCTGGTGCCTTGGCTGGAGGCCTAGCTGAGCCTCAGGTGGCCAGTGGCGTGTGGAAGGGACAGCGTGGCCCCTGCTGTGTGCAGAGCTGGGCTGCTGCATGTCCAAAAGGCAGGGCGGGAGTGGTGTCTCTGGCCCCTCCCCCTGCCGGGGCGCCATCCTCCTGGGGCGCCATCCTCCTGCGGGCGGGGCCTGTGGAGGGAACGCAGCCCTCCCTGCGTCTCCTGCCCCAGGTCGCAGGTCTGGCTCTCACTGGTTGTCTCGTGCAGGGTACTGGGGACCCCAGGACACCTCATGTCTCGTTCTGTCGTCCCCTCCCGCCCTGGAGCGTGCTGGCTGCCACCTTCCCACAGGAACCGGTTCTGCTCTGCTCCATCCAGGTCTCGGTGGCCCTCAGCAGCAGCTCCATCCGGGTGGCCGTGCTGGAGGAGAGTGGGGAGCGGGTCCTCGTGGAAGGGAAGTTCACCCACAAGGTCAACACCGAGAGCTCTCTGTGGAGCCTGGAGCCTGGGAAGTGTGTTCTGGTGAGTGCCCTGCCCTGCGCCCCGGGAGACCTCGCCCTCGGGATGCTGGGGTCGTGGAGACTGCTGTTCAGGGAGCTGAGGTTCTGCGTGTCCTCACTTCAGTCACTTACTGGTGACATTGGGGATTGCGCATCCGCAGTGACCGGAGGGTCAGTGAGCACATTGCTTTGATGTGCAGAGACTGCTCCTTCGAGCCTCTGGCGGTGAAGAGCTGGTGCCTGGTGGCCAGACCTGGCTTTGTGGTCAGCCCTACTCACTGGCCACTTGGCCTTGGTCCTGACTGTTGCCTCGCAGGACCTCCACTCCTCGTCCTTGGTTGGTTGGTCCCCAGACATCGTACTCAGTGCCAGGCCCTGTCTGTGCTAGCCGCCCGGTGATTAAGGAGTGGAAAAGGGGCCCAGATGTCCTTGCCAGACCCCAGGGCCTGTGGTGGGACTGCGTTGGGGAGCAGGGTGCGTGATGAGGGTCCTGAGAGAGAGATGTCATCCTGGTTGTCTAGTGACACGTTCTTATAAGGGAAGAGGAACGTTTGAGACAGCAGAGAGGACACAGACATGGGAGTGGTGATGTGATGCCCGGGCAGGGACTGGGCACACAGGCCACATGCCCGTGCCCGGGAGCCCCAGAGGCAGCGTGGCCCCGTGACACTGTGACCTTGGCTGTGCGGCTTCCAGGCTGAGGGAAGGAAAGTGCCGTGTGACCTGTGTGCAGCTTTGTCGTGGCTGTTCCAGGACAGCACAGGCTCGAGCGGGACACGAGGTGGTGCCCCCGGAGCCTCTGCCCTCCCAGTGCCCGATGTTCCTCGCTTCCCAGCACCCCCTCCGGAGCTGAGCGCCCACGCCAGCCCCTCCAGGCAGGGGCGGCAGCTAAACCCGGATGACAGTTCCTGCCTCCCCCTCCCACTCAAGGATGCTGATGCGCTTTCTCGACTCTGGGCTCTGCCTTGGTCGCGGAGCCTCCCAAGGCTCCGCGTCCTCGTCCCCTCCACGTGGGCGCTGGCCTCACTCACTGCCCATGGAGCCGTGGGAGGCAAAGCTAGTCCATGTTGACGAGATGCCCACACACGTCCCTGAAACTTGGGGTGCAGCCACACCATGTTCGCTGACCTGTCTGTGCATATCACTTAGGAGGGTGCCTGTCTGACCTGAAACTGTTTTTGCGCAGGCCACACCCCTCGCCCTTTAGAGGATGTGTTCAGACTGTTTTCTTGTCACAGCTCTCGAAAGTGGGGTGACAGGCTGGCTAGTCCTTGGTTGCTGGCTTTGCCCCCCTCCCCCCGGCACCACATTTCTGTGGTATCAGCAGGGCCAGCGCTGGCCTGGTCGTTGTTCCGCCTGCTGACTCACCGGCACTGATCCTTCGGCCCTCTGGTGAGGGCGTGCATTTCTGCATGAGGCCACCAGCCCCATTCCTTGGGGGTGGCCTGGACCCCTGCCTGGCCTGGGATGCGAGGACCAGACCCCTCGTCAGCACCCTCACGATGCAGGCTGGATATGTTAGCGTGTTGGTGAGAGCAAAGCCTGGGGTGGACGTTAGTCCTGGAGTGAGGTGCGGGCCCCTGGTCCTTGGTGCTTACACCTCGGGACCCTCTCGCTTCTCAGGTGGCCTGATCCTCGGCATGGCCTCCAGGTCTTAGGCCCCAGGTCCCACCCGGGAGAGTGGTAGTTTCGAATCATGAGATGGGTGGCCCGAGGCAGCATGGCCCACAGTGTAGCAGAGAGGCGCCCAGGAGACAGAGGACATGCCAGGCAACACTGGCAGGTGGACGGCGCTTACAGTGGACGGAGCGTCTCCTCCCCGTCTGCTTTCCAGACCCGGCCCCGCTCTGCGCCTGCAGGGCTCACACACCAGGGTCCTGCTGGGCCAGCGCTGCCTCTGAGAGTCCCGGGCCAGAGCTGCGCGGCTCATCCTCCGCAGACGAGGCCTGAGCTGAGCAGGCCCCCGTCTTGCTCCGTCTGTCCTCACTCACCCCCCAGGCTCTCACGTGTCTCCTTGGCCCAAACATGACCCCAGGGGCAGCTGTGGGGAGCTGCCGTCCTCACTGGGCACACGCCTCCCTGAACAGGAGTGAGGTCGTGTGACTAAGGAGGGAGAGGAGGTGGATGCTGGTGACTCATCGGCACAGATGGGGGCGCTGCTGTGGGCTCTCCACATCGGCTTGGAGCGTCTGTGAGGACATTCTGGGGAAACTGTGCACCTTGGGGTTTCCCGGAGAAACTGGTTCCAGGTCTGGGGCCAAGGAAGGAGGGGGCACATCCCGTCACAGCCACTGCCTCGACCGGCCCAGTGGGACACCGAGCACTTTGTAGTTAGTGCCACGCAGCAGGGAGAGCCCTTGACACTGGGCGTCGGGAGTCAGTGCCGAGGGGTCCCAGCTCGGTCCCAGGAGGCCCTTGCTGGCCAGCGCACGTGCTGCATGGGCCCGAGGCAGCGTTTCCCATGTGCTGTGGCGAGGGAGATGGGGTCAGGCAGGAACCCTGGGGATGTGGCCACACGCCGTCTGCCCTGAGCTGGGACCCCAGGAGCGCGCAGTGTCACCGTGCCGGGCTGTGCTGGGGGCTTCCTGACGAGCAGGTCCAGACAGACCTCGAGGGAGGAGCAGCCTCTAAAACTGAAAAACTAAAGACAAAGGCTGCGGAACGTTCCAGGTGAAAAGGACAAGACCACGAAGACGCGGGCAGGCGCTGGACTGGATGCCATGTGGGTGGGAAGGCGAGCAGGTCATTCACCACCACATCCCGGGGGTGCACTCCCTGCAGTGTGCGGGAGCAGGCCGCGGAGTCCTGGAGGACGCGCCGCATGAGGCCCGTGCTGTGTTCCAGACACGCGTGGGGGTGGGTGCCGACACCTGCTTATGGGCCAAGCTAGGGAAGGGTGTATTTGTCCTTGAGTCTAGCAACTTGTAAGTTTGAAATCATTTCAAATAACATGGTTTTTAAAAATGAAATTAAAAGAAGCATATGCCAGGGTGTCCACCTCCTTAGTTGTTGAGAGACTGTGAGTCAGAACCACAGTGAATGTCACTTCACACCCATTGGAGCAGCTGCTGGAAACGGCAGCACCCAGGGCCCGTGACACGGCAGCCTGGACCCTCCTGCACCCGCGGGAGCGGCAGCCCGTGTGCCGGGACGCATCAGGTTAGACACGCTGGGTGCTGCCTGAGGAGGGGGGACGGGTGATTCCACAAAGCGCACAGCCTTGGGGACCACCTGCGGCCGCCCACAGGCACACGGACCAGCCCGCTCTCGCCTCCCTGACACACCCGGCGAAGAGCAGGGCGGACGCTCCAGGCTGCGGCCTCACGATTCCATGACGACAGACATCCAGACACAGCCTGTGAGGCGGCAGAGCCAGCGTCAGGCTGTGGGACCACCTGCGAGGGGTGATGCAGTGGGGCCGCTGGCCTGTGAGAACTCATGGGTGTGCCCGCCGATGAGTGACTTTCACTAAGTGCAAAGTTGCTGCTGCAAACCAGGCTTCACAAAGTAACACTGTGAAAATAAAAACCCAAATCGAATGTGAGACGTGAGCTTTGTCAGACAAGTGTTTTAAGACCAGGACCCTTGGGTGTTATTGCAACGTTTCACCCATGTCCTCCTGGTGCGAAGTCGGCACAGTGCTGCCTGACACGGAGTCCTCACGGTGTCATTGTGTGGTGGTCCCTGGGCCAGTAGCCCTTTCCTGGGTGAGAGCTACCTCCCTGCCCCCTGGGTGAGACGGGTCTCATCCCATCGGAGTGGGCAGTGTCAGGGAGGGTGGGCAGCCCACCGGCTTGTGTTTGACCACTCTGCTAAGTTTCCCAAGAGCCTAGGGCTGACCACTGACCACAGAGGGGTACAGCCTCTCCCTCTGCCAAGTGGTCCCGAGACGATGCCCTTGCACCAGCTTCATGCAAAGCTTTGATGCTCTGCTTTCTTCCAACCGCACCATCTTGACTCTGAATCTCATGTCCCTGAGTCACCCTCCCAAGCTGTGCCGAGAGGCCAGGTGGGGGGTCTTTCCCTGACCTGCGGTGAGTGTGCTGTGGTCGCAGGGCTGGATGAGTCTGGCCAGGGACAAGCAGGCAGGGTGCTGGGCGTCCGGTGAGGGAGCTCACGTGGGCTCAGTGCTCAGGCACAGCCCCTCAGCCCCAGCAGTCAGGGCATGGGAGCTGGGTTTGGAAGCAGGAAAGGGCCTCAGAGGGGTTAGGGGTGGCCAGTCGGGGCTGGTGGAAGCTCACGTTTGAGGGCGAGTCTGGCGGCTCCGGGAGGCTGTGATCTGAGGGACCAGGTGTGAGTGGCAGGTGGTCTGGAGCCCCTGGAACATCCCCTCAGGCAAGACTAGGCTGGGGTCCAGGAGGCCAGTGGGTGTGGGTGCTCTAAGGACCTGGGGGAGAAGGACCCCAGGCCCCCCCAGATTGTAGTGCCCATACTGACCCGCCTCCACCCTGTCCCAGGTGAGCCTGAACAAGGCGGGCGAGTACTGGTGGAGCGCCGTCCTGGAGGGCGAGGAGCACATTGACATCGACCAGATCAACAAGGAGCGCTCCATGGCCACCGTGGACGAGGAGGAGCACGCCGTGCTGGACAGGCTCACTTTCGACTACCACCAGAAGCTGCAGGGGAAGCCACAGAGCCACGAGCTGGTAGGGCACCTCTTGCCCAGCTGCCTGCCTGCAGGTGGTGGGGCCGTGGGGTGACGCGGGCGGGGCGGGGCGGTGCCTCTGCTGCCAGGCAAGGCTACTCCCCGAGTCCTGACTGCGACAGCTCTAGCCTGGTCAGCTGGTCGCTCTCCAGACAGGTCATGAGTTTTACACCAGGACTGAGAGCAGGTGACAGGGCTAAAACGCGCCTGTCACACAGACCGGGCCATATGGCGTGTGTTCCCAGCTCTGCCGGAGCCTGAGGACGGGGAGCAGGGTCTGGCCAGTGTGGGTCTGACCACGAGGGCCAGTGGCAGGAAGTCCTTTCAACTCACTTCTAGGCCCCAGAAGTCTGAGAAGTCTGCGTGGCCAGGGGCTGCGGCAGGACGGAGTTAGTGGTGGGAGAGGCCCCGCCGAGCAGCGCAGAGCCCAGGTGGCGGAGGGAGGGATGAATTAGCTGAGTGCAGTGGTCCCCTCGTCCACGGGGTGCCTGTTCAGGACCCCGGGAGATGCCTGGGGCCACGGGCAGTGTGAGCCCCACTGTGCTGTTTCTCCCACACGGGCTGGGTTCTCCTCTCAAGGACGCGCGTCCCGGCTGCTGGTTGGCGCGGCCGGATGCCAGCATCGCTGCTCTCGCCTGGGGTGTCAGGGAGTCAGTCAGGGTCACTGGGACACAAGCGCTGGGACGCCAGGACAGTTGGTCTGAGACTCGAGATGGCTACTGAGGGGCTGTCTTGCTGGACGGAGGGACGAATCACACCCCGGGTGGACAGAGGGGGACAGCGAAGGACTTGTCCTGCTGCTCAGAACTGTGCACAACTTAAAACTTAGGCTCTATTTCTGCGCTTTTCCATGTAACACTTTCAGACCATGGCTGACCGTGGGTGAGCTCGGAAGGTGAAGTCACGGATAAGGGAGGATGTCCAGTCTCCTGTAGCTTTATAGTCCCCATGGGGGGTTTGGGAAGAGGATTACTCTCAGGTCGGCCATGGCGCCCGAGGTCCCACGCAGGCAGCACAGGGAGTGGCCGCCCTGGGAGTGAATGGGCCCCTGGACACTGGTTTTGTTCCTTGTGTCAAACATAGGACCCTCCCTAAAGCTGTTCAGATCCTAAGGTTCTTTACGTCTGCTGGGCCTGACTCTGACTCCCTGAGTGCCCTGGGCCCGCTGCCATGGGGCTCTGTCCATCTGTCCACTGTGTCCTCACTGCACACAGGTGGGGCTGGGTTGGTGGGTCAGACTCTGCCAGTGACCTGAGGAAGCACCAGGTGGACAGGCTCACTGAGCTGGTCTGGTCTCTGGCCTCCCTCCAAGTGTCTGGGCTGACAGGGCCGGGGGCTGGAGCTGAGGTTGACCGTGGTGGGGGGTCATGGCCTTTGCTGGTGGTGTCTGGACAGGGGCGCTGGCTGTCAGCTGAGCTGGCCTCATGCGCAGGCAGCAGTTCTAACCCACGTGCTCTGCACTTGCCTGTGGCCACTGGACATAGAGCAGTCTGGACACTGGCCCCTGGGAAGGGCCTTGTGTGCCTGTTGGAGGTGCTGATATCCCCCTGGAAGTGGATAGGCGCTGAGCCGTGGGCCACATGAGGAAAGGCAGGGTCCCCGGTGCCCAATGACTGACAGAGGGACGGATGGCCGATGGGGAAGGACATGGAGGCAGCCAGGGAGGGGCCGCGGTGGTTGGTGCAGGGATCCTGGAGGACAAGCTGATGCAGCAGTGCTGACCGAAGGGGCACACGGGGTCCCGGGGCTGGCTGTGCACGAGGCAGGACCCAGGGGGTGACCCTTTACCCAACTGACCTCTTCCTGGGTGGCCAGGGGCCTGCAGCCCACAGTCCCTTGCTGCAGATGGTTAGGGATGGATGTTTCGGGGCTGTGGTGACTCAAGTGGGGTGCAGAGCCAGTGGGAAGCCCAGAAGAGCGGCAGGAGCTGGAGGCACGGGTGCTGGCCTGGCCCACCACTGCCTCCGATGGACACCATTCCTGCTGGCACATGAGTCGCGGTGGGTGGGTTGGCCTGTCCCTGCTGTGGCTGTGCCGCATTGGGGGTGATGCTGACTCCTCCCCCCCCCCACTGTCTGTGACCTGTCTGCCGCCACCACGCAGGCCAGGAGAGTCCTGCAGCCTCGTGGACAGCAGGGACTTCCCCTCTGTTCAGTTTGTTGGCCTGGAGGTGAGAATTCCACCCTGGCCCTGCGGCCCTGACGCGTCTTCATTTCTCGGGTCAGAAGGAAAGGAGGTGGTCCCCAGCCCACTGTGTTCATGGGGAGGAGGGAGGGCTTGTAGTGCAGGGAGGTGCCTTCCTCGTGGGCATGGGGTCCTGTGGTTCCCTGGCCAGGCCACACTGCCTGGCCTGCTGCTGTCCCTGGAGACTGGACCTCCCAGACAGGCCAAGTCATGGCCTAGGTCGCCCTGAGCTACCTGAGGGTACAGTCGTTGATGCCAGCAGCCTCCTACCTGGGGAAGGGGAGCAGGGACCGCTGCACCTCCGTCTGCCCTGTGGGCAACAGCCCTCCTGCGCCCTGAAGTTTGGACAGATTCTGGGTGGGAAGGGACGGCAGGGCACCCGAAGACAGCCAGGGCTTGCAGGTGGCAGACAGGGGGCGGCGTGTGGAGGTGCCGTCGGCCCAGGCGGGTCCTGTGGAGGAGGCAGCAGTGGCCTCCTGCTCCGGGGCATTGGGCCTCGTGCCGCGGCTAACCTCTGTCTGTTTTCTGTTGTAGAAAGTCCATGAGATGCTGAAGAAGGGGTGGGACGCCGAAGGTTCTCCCTTCCGAGGCCAGCGGTTCGACCCGGCCATGTTCAACATCTCCCCGGGGGCTGTGCAGTTTCAGTGACCGAGAGGACGCCCTCGCCGTGGGGAGGCGGGGCCTGGCCATGCCCCTCCTGCGGGGACCCGCTGTCGGATGCCCTCCCTGTCCCTTCTTTCGAGGGCCAGCTGGCCTCCGCCCCGCCCTGCGTCTCCAGACTGTTCCGACCGGGCGGGGCGCAGGGAGGAGGGTGCTGAGAGCAGGGTGTGCGCAGGCGCAGCTCGGCCTGCTGTTCTGGCGCTGGGGGGGCGGGAGGAGGGGCGGCAGCAGGGCGGGGACTCCCTGCAGTTTGGGGAGCAGCCTCCTGCTGGGCACATGCACCGCAGTCCCTCTCGTGGGCTGTGACGTCCCCTGCTCGGTCCGGCACGGTGGTGCGGCCGCTGGTTCCGGATGTTGGGAGAAAGTCCGAGGCGCCCGCACAGTAGGACCTTGGACCTCGGACGGCTGCCCTGCCCTACCTGACCCTGCACTTTCCTTCCATGGCCCCGTTCCCGTCTGAGTGAGCTGAGCCGGGTGCCCTCGGGGGACCACACATGTCCGCAGCCCTGGTCCCTCTGCCCACCGCAGCTCAGCTCCCGCCCCTCCGCGGACCTGACCCCGCCGTCCTGCAGGCCGCGTGCCCGCCGCCCGGACTGCGCCTCGGCGCTGGAGCTGGTGGGTGGGAGCTGGTTCACCACTGGCGGTTCTGCTCCGTGGGCCGCGCCCCGGCTCCCTGGGAAGCCTTCGGTCCCTGCGATGCCGCCCTGGGCGCACAGATGGGGCTGGGGGCGCACAGCCAGGCCCGAGCCCTGACTGCACTGGGCCCTGCGGCTGGTCCTGGACCTGCTGAGACCCTTCCTCAGGCCCCAGGTCTCGTGTCGTCTGTGACAACGTTCTCCATGCTTCTCCCTCCGTGTCCCTTTGCCCCACCCCCACGGGTCTCCTGGAGTGACAGGGTGGGCGTGGCATCTGCGTCTCAGTGATTTGGGAGCCTGGACCCAGGACTCTGGTCAGCAGTCTGTCTTCAGCCTGAGGTGGTTTTCCGTGTCGTCGAGCGAGTCAGTGTCCCGGAGGGGGTGCCGGTCACGCAGTGGATGGCGGCTCCCTCAGCTGCTGGGCAGCCCCTGCCCCTGGCGGCCCTGGAGTCGCGCTCCTGCCTGTTTTCTTTCCGCAGACGCGGCAGCAGCAGCTGGGCCACTGAGCTCGCGAGGCCTGAGGACAGGAAGCCGCCCCTCCGCAGCGTGGGTTTGCAATAAATCTGTGTTTAAGCACTTGGCCTCTGCCTGAGGTTGCCCCCGAGTTTGTTCTGTCTGTGGGCCCGTCTACCCAAGTGGGTAGGTCCTTGACCCAACCCATCTGCAGCGCGTGGTGGGCATTGATCAGTGTTTTTATTTTTGTGGGTTTTTTGAATCCTCACCCTAGGATATTCCATTTATCTTCAGATAGAGTGGGCGGGAGGGAGGGAGGGAGGAACACATTGGTCACTTCCCATAGGATCCCAACCAGAGCCAGGGACCAAACCACAACGGAGGTGCATGCTCTTGACCGGAATTGAACCCACACTCATTGGTCCACTGGCTGATGCTCCATCCCCTGAGCCAGACCATCCAGGGCTTGATCAGTGTTGGTTTTTTTTTAATGGATTGCTTCAGGGCCAGGCGTGGGAGGAAAGGTCCCTACAGCGTGTGGGCGGGGCATGTGGAGTGATGGGGAGTGTCCTGCAGAAATGTGTCCAGGGCTCCTGCAGCCCTCACGGCACAGCCGGGGGCAGACCCACACCTACCCGACCGCGGGACTCGTTTTCAGTGGAGTCCCAGCCCCAGATGGTGGGACGGGGGCAGGCTGAGGTCTGAGCGGGTGCTGGGCAGGTGGTCCCCAAGCACCAGGCTCCGCAGTCACAGCCACCACACCCCTGGCTGTAGTCTGTGCCTGTCCCCTCACGACTCCGGTGAGGAGGCGAGCGAGCCTGTCGTTCTGGACTCGGCCAGTCCCCAGAGCAGGTTTATTCTTTGTGATCGAGGGCTGAGCGCCCTGCCTATTAGGGGGGCTGTTGGGAGGCAGGGCCCTTGGGATGGCCAGGCTCCCAGGACTCTCGTCTCACTGATGCTCAGACCCCAGTTGGAACCAGGCTGGACTGGCAGCAGGAAAACACCCAGACACAGACTGAGTCCCAGCCCCTCCCCCTGGGGGCAGAGCCTGGTGGGCACTGTAGGGATGGGCGTCAACCAAAGGTGGAGTGAGCTAAGGATTACAGTCCTGCCCCACACAACTGTGGGTGACTGGTCGCTACGCCCCACTCCAGCTGCCCCAGAGGACAAGAAGCACCTGAGAGAGCCTGCTGGGGGAGGGGTGTGTTCGGGGGGGGTGGGGGCTGTCAGGGGCTCCAGAGCTGGTTGAAGCAGGTGCCCAGGTCGGCTCAGCCCGTGTGCATCCCCAGACGTGGCGGGGCAGGAGTGTGGGTGCAGGTTAGCTTCAAGGCCGTCCGCAGTTCATGTCACAGTGACTGGAGACACCAAGAGAAAGGAGGAGACACCCTCAGATGCCAGGTACTAACAGACACTGACTTTGAAACAACTGTTATTAATAATGTAAAGAAAAGCGATAAGATGGAGGATTTCACTAGAGAAAAAAATATATGAATTCCAGAGCTGAAAATAATATTTAGAATACAGTTGACGAGACAGACCGAGGGCTCGCAGGAGGCAGGGCAGTTAGGGAGTCAGTGTGATGGACAGAGATGCAAAGATGGTGGGAAACGAGAGGGAGGGAGATTTGGGACACGTTCTTGCACAGGAACCTGGAGTCCCAGGAAGAGAAGATAACGCAGCAGAAGAAATATGGAGGCCATAGAGATCGATAATTTTAAAAATAAGTTAATGCAATCAGTCCACAGATTCAAGGTATTGAACCTCAAGCAGGACAAATAGAAAGATACTTTTAAAAGGAACCTGAGTGGAAAGGAGTGATGATCAGTCCAGACTTTTTAACAAAAATGAATAGTCAGAGGCAGTAAAATAACCTTTAAGGTTCTGGGAAGAAAATAGCTGCCAACCTAAAACACTAGAGAATTGGGTAGCAAAAATGTCCTTAAAAGTGAAGGTGAAAAAATGACATTTCTAGAAGAAAGAATGAAAACATGAGAGTCTTCATTGGCAGAATATCTGCACTAAAAAAAAAAAAGTCCAGGGAATTCATCAGGCAAAACAATAAGCCCGATAGACTGGAAATGGTAAATCCGAATGCAGGTTGACTAAAACAATGCTGCCTTCTGGGGCTTAAGATATGTGTGAACGTAAATGCATGAGCACAGTAAGAACAGAAATGGGAAGGGCGGAAATGGAAATAGACTATTTTAAGATCTGGGAAGAGCCCAGCCAGTGTGGCTCAGTAAGAGGTCGCCGGTTCGATTCCCGGTCAGGGCACATGCCCGGGTTGTGGGCCTGATCTCTAGTGGGGGGCATGCAGGAGGGGGCCAGTTGATGTTCTCTCTCATGGATGTTTCTATCTCTTCTCCCCTCCTCTCTAAAATCAGTAAATAAAGAGTGTTTTAAAAAAGTAGATGTCTGGGAAGGCGTGGAAAAAAGTACTAATTTATGGTAGAACCTAACAACGCATTGTTGCCATCAAAGGTGACCTTGAAGAGTAAAAGAGTGTAAATAGCAAAATAATAGTAAAGGAATGTAGGCTAATAGATGGGTAAATGGAATAAAAAAAATGCTTAACCACCCTCCCCCACCCCTACCAAAAACAAGAAAGGATTTAAAGAATATAAAACAGATGGGATAAATAGAAAACAAGAATCACCTAGTAGGTATAAACTCAAATACACCACAAAGCACGGTAATGTAAACAGACTAAGTTCTCCATAAGAAAGGCTGCATCCAAAGAAAACAATGTCAGACTTGCTGCAGAGAAGCCCGTCTCGTGTGTGTGTGTGTGTGTGTGTGTGTGTGTGTGTGTGTGTGTGGTGGGTGTGGGTGTGGGTGTGTGTGTGGGTGGTGGTGGTGGTGGTGGTATGTGCCCCTAGAGGGAACAGAACCTGGCGCTCTGGTCCACAGGCCAACCGACGCTCAACCCCTGAGCCAAACTGGCCAGGGCGAGAGGCCCGTCTTAAACCCAGGGCGCAGTGAGGTTGATGACAGAGGGCTGCACAACTACAGAGAGATGCTTCACGCATTCCCTACATTCCTTACGACCAGCCTCCAGCTCGGCACTCGAAGGACTCGCGAGACCCAGAGGAGCAGCTACTCTAAGGACGACGGGGAGACGGGCTGCAGTCGGCAAAGGATGAAGGAGAACTCCAGGAGAAACCAACAGCTTCCAGCCACCCCTCTTTGTGAAGCTGCACGGACACGCTTAATTCTCCCAACAATAATGTGTGACGACACGTAGGCGGTATGCCAGCCAGGAGGTCACCCGAGTCTTGGTGTCAAGGGTTCTGACTGGGAGTCCATCACGCTGTCTGCAGTTCCCAGGTCAAACTGGCAGCAGAGCCCAGGGCCTCCGACAGACCGAAGCAGGCATTCAGTACAAGCCGTGTTGGCATAAGTTGTCCAGCTGTATTAGTCAACCAGGGCTGCCGTACCAAGTGCCACAGGCCGGGAGCTGACACAACAGAAGTGTGTTCTCGCAGTTCTGGAGGCTGGAAGATCAGCGTCAGCAGGTTTGGCTCTCCTGAGGCCTCCCTCTGTGGCTTGCAGATGGCTGCCTCTCACTGTGTCCTCACCTGGCCTTTCCTCCGCCGGTGTGTCCCAGGTGTCTCCTCGGTATGGCCTAATCTCCTGATAAGGACACTTGTACGATTGGGCTCACCAAATGGTATCACTTTAACTTAATTATCTTTTTAAGGGCCCAATCTCCAAATACAGTCAATTCTGAGGTACTGGGGGTTAGGGGTTCACTATATGGATTTGGGGGGGCACATTTAATTAATGACCCTGGTCAAAGTGATACAGTATGGCCCAAAGCCTCAGGCATATAGAAATACTCGTTTTTGCCCAGCCTGTGTGGCTCAGTGGTTGAGTGTCATCCTGTGGACTGAGAGGTCCCGATTTGAATTCTGGTCGGGGCACATGCCTGGGTTGTGGGCTCCGTCCCCAGTAGGGGGTGTGCAGGAGGCAGCCGATGGATGTTTCTCCCTCACTTCTATGTTTCTATATCTCTCACCTTTCCTCTTTCTATCTAAATCAATAAAAAAAACATATATATACACACATATACATATGTATATGTAGGTATATATAGATATATTTTAAA